TATCTGGGTTTTTCAAGCTTTTGTAGAACTGAGATTTCAATAAACAGTTTCAGTTGCATGGCCTGGACTGTTCCTTCTGCGACAGCCCTTGGAAGACCTTTCTTCCCTATATCTGCTTTCTAAGCCTCCCTACTCCCTGACCTCATCATCTTGCGACTCATTCTCTCTCAGCCCCGTTTCAGAACTTCCCTGTATTTGATAGTCATAGTCTCCCATTTGAAACGTCCCTTTGTCCCTGCTTCTAGCACCCTGGGGTAATTAGTGCTGCTCGACTTGGGTGCTGTGGGGGACAGATAATGACTCTACCATACCTAGGGTCGGCCTTGTCTGTCATAAGTTCTGGGTGAGCACCACCCTTATGGATTTGGAAGCATATCTTGTGGAGAGAGGCCAAGCCATGTATCCAGCAGAGCCCCATCAGCTTTTTTTTCCTTTTTGAACTTGGTTGGGAAACAATGTGTTTTTTGGGGGAACAATGTTTTTTCCAGGACCTATCAGCTCCAAGTCAAGTTGTCTTTCAGTCTTAGTTGTGGAGGGCGCAGCTCAGCTCCAAGTTCAGTCACCGTTTTCAATCTAGTTGTGGGGGGCGCAGCCCACCATCCCATGCGGAGTCGCACAGCAACCTTGTTAAAAGCACGGGCTTTAACCAACTAAAGCATCTGGCCCCCCACCAGCAGCTCAGTGGCAGCTCAGCTCAAGTCGTCTTCAATCTAGTTGCGGAGGGCGCAGCTCACTGGCCCATGTGGGAATTGAACCGGCAATCCTGTTGTTCAGCACACGCCCTAACCAACTGAGCCACCTGGCCATCAGCTTCTTGAGGTCAGACCCTGAAGACACATCTTGATGCTGATTTCCAATCTGATCTGACACATGGTGATAGTATTAAGAGAATTCCCAGCCTGGTTTTTTCATTGGAAGAAGGAAAACAGCTCTGGGCAGCTGGACTGAGGGTGTTTGAGACGGCTTAAGAAGAGCCACAGCAGGGGTGGTACTGCCCCCTAGTGGATATTTTGGAAATTTATGGGGCATTTTTTGACCCCAAAATTTGAAGGGATGCTACCGGCATTTAGCCCGCCTGAGCAGGATGCTAGACATCCTGAAATGCTCAGAACCCTCCTTATTAGAAAGAATTCCCAAAACAACTTTGGAGTGACCGGCTAAACATCATATATGAAAACCTTGTTTATCTGAGTCTAGAACTATTCACATGTAAACATGTTGATTTTGCACATTTTGAAAAAGACTCAGTTTCCCAGGGATACACTGCTGTGTAAATTAAAAGTTACTTTGCTTAAAAGTTACTTTGCTTTGTTTGGCACTTTACCATGAACTTGTTCACTATTTTGGAGCATCAGGTGCCAATGGCAGCACTGTCTGTGGTACATGAGTTGCCAGGAAAGCACCAGTGTCTGGGGGCATCTTAGCTACCACATCCACAGTGATTCTGCACATGGGTTTGGGGACTGGATCACTCCTTGTCTTCTGTTTTCGCTGGGCCCAGCTTTTCACATAATGAAATACCTGTTACAAATTATTTTTATTTCTCACCTATATTACAGTGAGGACATTATATAAAGTTGTGGTCACTGTTGTCATGCGTGTCATTCATTATCCATGCATGTCCTTTTGAGGTAGTCAGGGGCTTGACCGTGAAAGGGCTGTGGACAGCAGTGTAGTCATGGTGGTTCCAAATTGCGATGGTGAGGAAGGAATACAGTCTAAGATCTCCCCAGGTTATTTTCTAGGCCTTTCTACCCCTCTTACCCTGCTTTACAGAGCCTGGATCAGGGGAGCTAAATGGAGATTCTTGGGGGAGGGGTCCAGAACACGGGAGGCTTCCCGGTTAATGGGTGATGGAATTTGCACGAGAGCTGGGCAAAGGTGAAAGAGCTGCGTCCTGCGCTAAATCCCTCATTCCTTTGCTTCATTGACACCCCTCCCCCCTCCCCACTCCAGGTAGCTAACTTTACCCAAACTCTGACCTCTTACACTTTCTACTTAACTCTGGCCCAGGACAGTCAACACAAGACAAAAGGCAGGACAGCATGAGCCGATCACACCCCCATCCCATCCAACTCCAATCTGTGGGCTTCCAGGATGCCTTGGCTCCCCTGCCACCGCCACCTGCTATCGAAAACCCTCCCTCCCACTCTTGGGCCTGTCTATGTGGGCCTCCTCCCTGGGGCCTCTGCTGTCTTCTGGCTCTGCAGGTAGGAGGCAGAGGTGCAGGAGATGGTGCTGGCTGAAAGGAGTGTTTGGGGGAGTAGGTGTGGCATGAGGAACCCTCTACAAATAAGTACTTCTGCCTGTTTCTGAAGGCCGACCCTTCCCATTCCTCTACCTGCAGCATATCTTGGTTCTGGGTTCTCTGCTCTGCGCCTCCCATCTGCTCCTGCTTCAAAGCCTCCCCCCAGGAGGACTCCCTTACTCCCCTGCCCAGCTCCTGTCCTCCAGCCTCTTTTCGTGTGGTGTGTCTACCGCCCTGCAAAGTTGGATAGGCAGCAGGTAAGGGGAACTTCCCAGAGGTAGGGGAACAGGGTTTCAGGGGAGCAGTAGGAGAACCTTGGGGAGTCCTTTTGGCTGCCACCTGTTTCTAGACCTGCTGGGGCTGCTGTGCCTACAGGTTGCCTCTTGTCCAGGCTCCATCCTTTGAGTTCCTTGTACCTGCTCTGGTGGTGACCAGGCAGAAGCTACCTCTGGCCATCCAGACACCTGGAAACTGTGAGTACAGAGCAAGAGCCTGGGG